TGACTGGGGAATTCTGGGAGTTGAAGTCCACGCATCTTAAAGTTGCCAAGGTTGAGAAACACTGGTCTGGGAGAATTGTCACTTTGATTTAAGGGAGTTGCCCCTTAAATTAGATTTGCATTGAAACCCAGTGTTCCCCAATCAGATGTTTTGGAGCGCAACTTACCTTTAGGCACTGGCCAAGCTAGGGCTACTGGCATCTGTAATCCCAAACCTCCGAAGAAGCTGCACTGAAGATCGAAAGGTATCTCTTAATTCCAGCAAAGAGAGTTCACACACTTTCCATCTGACGTGGGCTTTCACTGGTTCTCACTATTCCTCCAACAAACCTTAGTTTGAAAGAATGGGAATGAAAGTGGGTCTTCTTGCCTGGAGGTTCTCTAGCCCCCTCTGGTGGCATCCTGAGACCGATGGCCAAGGTCTCCCGTTGCATTAAACCTACCTGCAGTCCGGCTTATTTTGTAGTCAGAATCTAGCCATTGTAGGTTGAAACTCAATGCTTACTCCATGAGCTAAGTCTTTGGGTCAGGATATAAGGAGGAGGAGGACTGCTGAATGCCTCTAGCAATCTCCAGGTGGGGCTTCAAGGCACTGTCCTTCCTGTGTCCTTTGTCCCCAACATTAAGTCATTGAAGGTTGACTGCCCCTGTACATGGAGGTTTGATTTTGTGTTTGCAATTGAAGAGTCTTGGCTGGAGCAGGCTGGCCACCGTCCTGGATGGGATGAGGGTGAACAAATGCCTAATGTAAATGTGTTGTTGCTGCCGGGGGAGGTGGGGGATCTAGTGGGTTTTTAATTGGGATCTGATTTTTGTAAGCCACCCGGAGTCAGTGTGTGTGAGTTGGGCTACTATATAAATTCATTTAATAAATAAATAAATGAATAAATAAAAAAAATAGTTTTGGGAAGCTCACAGGAAGAGAGGAAGTCCACTGCCCCCTCCTGCCATTGCCTGAGAAGAATAGGGATCCCTAAAACTCTCCATTTTGATAGCTACTGGAGCTTTTCCTGCATGTTGCATGACCTCCTGGAAGTTTTGCAAGTGTTCCAGTTGCTCCGGAATATGATCGTCCCCCGTAGCTTCCTGCCAACAGTTTGATTTTTGCAAAGAAAACTAAAAACCATGCATTTATTTCTCCTCCTCTTCTCCTCATTCCCGCTCACCACTGCACCCATACCTCACAAGACGGTGCCTGGCGAAGTGAGCCCCCGGGACGGTTATGTGTTGCTCCTCGTGCTGCTTTCTATCTTTATCGGGGGCACCTTGGTGCTTCTGTTTGGCGTCCTGATCATCTGCCGGCGCTGCTGTGAGACGGACCGAAGGCACTCCAGGTAAGGGAGGGATGAATGGAAATGGAAGGCTGGCAGGGGGGACACACTGGCGTTTGGGGGTCTGTTTTGGGTATGGTGTAGATCGTGGTTTAAATAACTGGCTGATAGTGGCCCTCCCTGCCCAGGGGCCATCCGGATGTGTTGGGAGCATCATGCTAAGAATTTGCAGCCACAGTGGCTAGCAATTCTGGGAGTTGCAGGCTGAGCATATCCAGAAGGGGCAGGGTGGAAAAAGACTGCCTTAAAACTGTTAAAACTGGGTCTCTCTCATCCATCCATCCATCCATCCATCCATCCATCCATCCATCCATCCATCCATCC